GTGTCTGTGTGTGTGTGTGTCTGTGTGTGTGTGTGTCTGTGTGTGTGTCTGTGTGGGTGTGTGTCTGTGTGTGTGTGTCTGTCTGTGTGTGTGTGTGTCTGTGTGTGTGTGTATGTCTCTGTGCGCGTGTGTCTGTGTCTCTGTGCGTGGGTGTGCGTGTGCGTGTGCGTGTGCGTGTGCGTGTGCGTGCGTGTGTGTGTGTGTGTGTCTGTGTCTCTGTGCGCGTGTGTGTGTGTGTGTGTGTCTGTGTGCGTGTGTGTGTGTGTGTGTGTATGTCTTGGTCTCTGTGCGCGTGCGCGCGCGCGTGTCTGTGTGTGTCGCTCTCTCTCGCTCTGTGTCTGCATGTGCGAGTGTGTGTGCACTTGCATGTAAGCACATGCTGTCACATATATATTTAGTATGTATTATCTATATGCATATACATACTGTATGTATAAGTATATGTATATATGTATGTATATGTGTATACATATATATATATATAGATTGATTCTTTGTTGGTTGATTCAGATATTTATTCGTTTAGTGGTACATACATACATACATACATACATACATACATATATATATATATATATGTAAATATACGCGCACATTCATGTATACATATTCATATACAGCTATTTACTTATGGTATATCTTGCTTATTTGTTTGTATATGCACGTGTATATATACCCGCGTGTATGTGTGTGTGTGTATGTGTGTGTATATATGTAGAAGCGCACACATGGATGCATGCATGCATGCATGCATGCATGCATGCGTGCACGTAAGTATGTATGTATGCATGTATGTATGTATGTATGTATGTATTTATGTGTGTATGTATTTATGTACTGCATGTGATGCATTTAATGCATGCAATGCAATGCACTGTATGCAATGCAATGTATGTAATGTAATGATGTATTGTACTGTCGTGCAATGTAATGCAATGCAATGTAGAGTACTGTATGTCTGCATGTATGTATGTATGCGTCTGTGTCTCTATGTATGTACCTATGTATCTATGCATGTATCTAGCTACGTATGTGTATATATATATATATATACGGGCATGTATCTCCATATATATGCATATATATATATATATGCATGCATACACATACACACATGATAGGTAGGCATATGAACACGTGAACGTTCGTTTGCATGTACTCCTACCATAATGCTGTGTATATCCTTCGCTATGTGCTGTGTGCAGTGTGTAAGTATGTATGTATATATATATATATACATATATATATACATACATACACACATACGTGTGTATATGTGGAGAGATAGATGCCGAACGATGGCGGAACTAGTTCGTCGATCGTCAGCTGACAGTGTTTATCGCCTACTAAGAAGGCATCGTCAACACCGGCTCTTTCGCAACCTAACATGCGTTTCTGCAGAAAACGGCAGATTGGGAGGACGGAATCGGTGAGAGAGAGTGCAGAGCTTTGCGTTTGCGCATGGCTGTGTCCGACAGTTTCACAGAGTGACTCCTCAATCGCTCAGAGAGATGATGGCTTCTGGCAACGACAGTCCCCATATAAATCGCATATTCTGATCATTCAGGTCCCTGTACTATGTACTTAAGGCCCCTATAACCCCCTGTAGAATCCTTGAAGGAACCCGCAGAGGAATTACATTCTTGTCGTCCCCCAATTGCTTCTGCAGGCACAGCCGGACAACGTACGAGACTTCGTGCGAGATTTCTGTCTGCGGATGGCAGCAGTGGCCCGAGCCAAGCATATCAGGGCTGTCGTGCTGACAGTAACAATGACAATAATGCGAATCATATTGTATTAATATTGATAGTAGGAGTGACAGGAACAGCAATGACGAGAACAATAATAGTAGTAGCAATGCTGAGAATAGCGGTAGCGCAGACAATAATGAAGATGACAGATTGAAAACAATCTTGATTGTACTGAAGATACTAGTCACGGCAATAATGATAGTAACCATGGTAATATGTAAGCAGCATTACATGATGATGAGAATACGTAGTAAGCCTGATGATCACAATGATGATATTATGTGAATGGTAATGTTTCCAATTCTGATGCCCATATAGCAATAGCGATAAGAAAGATAGGGCTCTCGATCCATCGTCTTATTAATATCGACCAGCCCACAATCTGCAGGCACCCAACTTCCAGCATCGCCTCTTTTTCAATGCGCTGCAGGGAGTGCACGGAGCTTGGGCATCCTCGTTCAGTCACATGTAGGCATGGCTCTAAGTCCGAAGCCACGGAGTCAAGCTTGGCCTCCAGCCACCTTCCCATGTAGGATCAGCGGGATGAGAGGCTTGCAGCTTCGGCGGTCAAGTCTTAACGCGTTCGGATTTGCGGGTGTGACGATGGGTTCCTTCAGGCTCAAACAACCTAAGTCTCCACTGAGAGCTGTCGTTTGACATGAGTGCCAATGATGTCATCTGTCCCCAGAAACAAAGCCCCTCCAAAAAGGGCGGGACAGTGAGACGCTGGGAAGGTTCCTGATGCTGAAGACAACGGAACCATCCGGAACCCTTATCAGGCGAAGGAAAAGAGGTGATTAAAAAAAAAGAACCACGGCGTGCTATACCGAAGCACATCAGTCGGGGGTGCCGAACTCATCGGCGAGGTCTTGGAGATCATGCCCACATGCAATCAAGATAGTGGCTGCCGCTCGCGTTTTCCGCTGTTTGAGGCATCCGGGAAATAACGGGCTAGTAGGGGGGGGGGGGTCTTGAATAATTAGACCAGGGTTTCCTTATTGTCCCCAAAGAATTATCGCATCATATAGCTCGAACCCCTTCTCTTCTCCAAGTATTAAGACCCCTGCACTGGTTGGAGGTTTCGGAGTTTGGGCTTAGCTACAACATCGCTACTAAACTTGTGTCCTATCTTTTAACTGGCCTGAAGAATCATTACCAACATTGTTCCTTGTCTTTTGGGTTCCTCGGTAGAACTGAAGTATGATATGGCCCAAAGCCTTGTTCTGAGTACTACTGTAGCGTACTTACATTGACCAATGATGCTCTCCTCAAGCTAACCTTGCTCGGGGCCATGGAGTAATGTAAGGGAAGGCATTCGGCTTTCGTTTGAATCCAAAACGCTGAAGCTTAGCTTCCCTATGAGAATGCAAGCTGATCTGATAAGAAGGGCTGCAAGCTTGACCACGCAACTACCTCAGAAATCCTAAACCCTGAACACACAACCCCGGGTTCGGATGGTAGGTGTATGTGTACGGGTATAGCGCGAGTGTGTCGTGGGTTGTGAGCCGCAACCGGAAGCCAATGCCTCAGCCAACTTTGGCGTTCGACCTAACTAAGCCAGGCAGGTGGAAAAGAGGTGTCAAAAAAAAAGAACACACAACCCCGATCATCCAGAAATCTCCCACAGCTGCATGCCGGCGATCCCGAATCAGTAGCTGCTCGGACAGCCCTTTGCCCTACAGTTCACCATAAACCCTGGCACCTTTCGGGACTCCTACCTGCTACCTTTCGTTCTCTCCAAGCAGGCGCTGGGTCAAGCGGGAGCTCGCACGCTTTGGCCGGGAGCCGCGCGGCCTCGAGCCCTGGGCCGAGGTAAGAAGGGCGGAGTCGGATTTTAGAGGTTCCTTGTTATAGTTATAGTTGTATAATATACCCCCTAAACCCTATTCTAATTATTAAGGCCCCTATATCAAGTTGTTTTTGTCAGGCTGGTGGAATGCCTCTTGTAGGCCCTGAGAGACGCACGAGTTCTGGACTTGTGCAGCTGATTCGCACACTCGTGACCAAACTCCTCTATTTCTTTTCGCGGATCAGGTTATGTCACGGGGGTACCTGTCTGCTGGTGCTTTTTCGGAGCGTCAATTGCAACCCCGTGAGTTTTTTCCGTTATGGTTTTGCATGCCTTGTTGCTGGCTCCTCTGTGAGGACGCAAGGACAGGTGCTACACTGTTCACTCCATTGGGCATGTATTCGCGGTCTACATTTGCGACCGGGCCGGTGCTTGAGAGATACGATGTTCTCCTTTGAACTCTTTTCGATTGCTCATCACGTTCTTTGTCGTATTGAGTCCTTTCGTCGGTCAATTACGAAGGGTTCTGGGCTCCAGGCAGAACGTCGCATGGTGTTCGCCGTTGAATTCATACAGAAATGCATCCACATAAGTTCATGTGTGTGGGGTTCTTTTGCTCGTTGATTGAAGCTATTGTCTATCTAGGCCCAAGCCTAGTTCACTTCTTCATTATTACAGGTGTAGCCACTTTGGGATTCTAGTGTTTAAGGGCTCTCTTCACATGTGGGCATTACGGCATTCAGAGTTGGTTCTGCATGTCGAAAACATGGATCTCGGCACGTGAGGTTGAGGCAACATTCAGCCCGCGGTTGCAGCGCCCAGACGCTGTTCCGATCAATTCTCCCAAAGCTTGTTGCCAGGCTCGCGTTGCACCGATGACGGCTGCAGCGTTGCGCAGCAACTGGCGTCGAGCAGGGGGACCCTGCATTTCCCGTTTCGGGCTGGATGAAAGCAAATAGGGTCCGACTGCGGGAGCCAACAGAGCTATATAAGGAAATGTGTCGAAACAGTTGTATGCCTTGGCAACTTGCATGCTCTTCCGGAACACGTCCAAATAAGAGATACATCTGGAGCACGAGTGGCCGAGCAGGGGTTGGCTACTTGAGATTGGCTAGGGTAGCTTGCATGGCCAGCAAGTGCGCATTGACATCTCCGTACATGGTCATGCGCTTCTTAAGCCGCCTCCTTGTGTTATGCCGACACTACCAACAGTAGATGCGGGTTCGTGGCGGAATGAACTGAAAACCTTTGAGAGATTGCTTCTCAGCATCCTCACACAGAAACTATTGGCAACAGGAGCACAAACCTATTGCGAGCTTCCTCCGCCAACGCATGATCAGGTCGAGGAAGCAATTTGCAAGGAGATGCCGCGAGAGGCCGGGTACCAAGCTGCAGCCATATGGATGCAGGACCTCAACAGTCCTTGCACCTTTGTACCCATCAACAGGGGCACTGCCTGAGTTTGCTTTCGACGGATGACCGGACAAGTCGGCACCCCTGCATCAACAAGATCATTGCAGTGTTTGTGACCCCCGCCGTAGGACTCATGTGTTGCAGTCTCCAGCTTTGCATGAACCTGTCTCAGCGCACGAACGCCCGAATGAGAACCCTCAAGAAGCCCTAGAAGGATTTCTGGGTAAACCCGGAACGAAGCCCCACATCCATGTCCTGCTGACAGTGCGAGCATCATCTCTGAACAAACCAAGAGAACTACGCTAGCGAATACAACAAGGGGCCCCTAAGCACGAAGCCACCCTGCGTCTAAAGGAAGCCTTAACTCTCAGAGGCTGGCGTGGCCTCGCTCCAAATCTTACTGGAACGCGGCTTTGACCCCAATGCCGCACCCTTCGGCGTGTCGTGCGGGTCCCGGTCTGATGTGGCTCCCTCTTATCTTTGCGGCTTAGCTAGAAAAGGCCGCTTCCACCGTAGAAGAAAAGCGGTTCAGGGCTTCAGGGCTCGCAGGGGGGATGGGTTTGTGGTTTACGAAATTTGTAAAGCAGGCAAAAACCCTCAGCACAGGCAGTCAGGGTCCTCTAGCAACTAATATGTTCTTTATAGCAGCAACATGTAACGCGGGGTAGTTTTTTGTTGGTTGACTTTTTGTTTGCCTGATTTTTTGATGCCTTGGGGTGTGGGTGGGTGGGGTGCAGGGGTGCAAGGGCCGGCTGCCGGAGGCCCAAGTCCTTGCATGCAAGTGGGCTTCGAAGCAACGCGAAGGTGGAAAGCCGAAAACGCCTTCGCCTGCACAACATACCGTATTGACACGAATTAGATTAGATTATATAGGAAATTGCACCGTTCTAGCGTAATTCAATATATGATATGTACATATTGCTATACAAACGTCAGGTCAATGGTAAATTCCAGTTCTGTTCACCTTGCAAAATATGTTGCAACTTAGTCTAATGCTTTGTAAGACAGACTAAACTGCTATATGTTTATCTGATTATATGAGTACTGTATCAAGCTTATGCAGAACTTGCATGTCTAATATTCAATAGACAGCTTATATTGCTTACGGTTAGTATTTTACGTTAAGACTTTGGAATCAGTTTCTATTCTGCAGTGGTACAGTACCATATGTTATTCCATACAACCTTGTCATGGCATACCATATACCGCATATTATTTTTTGTTCTGTTCTGCTCGATACTACCATGTTAATTATGTTATCTGATGTTGTAATTCCTGAGCTGAATCGACATTTTGAGTTGCCTGGCCTGAATGTTGCAAGTCATCATATCATCGTCATCCCCATCATCACCTTCATCGCAGCTACCCTTTCTGCCGTGACCAAACGCAGTAGCATATTCGTATCGATCATGCAGATGCAAAGACAACTGCGTCTGTGGTACTTTTCCAGGCCGTTGCTGCTGGCTTCGCTGTCCGGGACCGCATGCATCCATGGGCTTGAAGCATTTATACTCAAGAGGAAGCGGGGTCAGTTCTTCAGTTGCCTGGGCCTCTACATCTTTGTGATCTGTAGCCGATTTGGTCAAGCCTGACGGCTCATCGCAAAGCCTTTGCGTTGTGCACGATGGCCACGGCCCCGGCTGCCGAGATGCACTAATGCACACATGTGTTGGCTGTTGAAGCGCGCATCAGTGATATCAATATCAAGCTACCAAAGGTAGCTTGACAAGGAACCTGTGACCACACAATGGGAACAAGGGGTGATATCTCTCTTGTCGGTGGCTATGAGTCTTTCTAAATCTCAGCTTAGCATGATCAAGATCCGCTTAAGGGAGAACTCGCAGCAAACGAGCTTCTTGATATTCTCAACCCACCGCTCCGTGATGCAATGTAGCATCAACAAAGCATGGAGTTTCAATCTGCCACCTGGGTCCTAAGACCTTTGAACTGCAAATATGGACAAGCCCCGATCGCCACATCAGCTGGAAGCTATCGCAATCGCCCAAGCCAAACTCGCCCGAGTTAGAGCCAGACAGCTGAGGCAGCACCTCCACAAGAGAGGTATCAGAAATTGGACAAGGTCGGCGAGGGATCATGTGGAGTCGTCTTCCGCTGCAGGCGCGGTCTGCCAACTCTGACTCTGACTACGAATGCCATTTGTGGAGTGTCGCTTTCGTTGCTGACCCGGTTCTTGTGGCTGTTGCGATGCTGATGACGGCGACGACGATGGCGATGATAACCATGATGGTGAGATCACGATACTGATGTTAGTAGTCGCTGTGAGTTATTGTTGTGGTTCTCTGATGCTGCAGATGATGATGACGGCGGTGAATGTATGCCTGCGCCTTGTTCAGTCTGCTGTTATGGCATCTTGTTCGAAACTGCTAAACCGCGAACATACTTGCATGAAGGCATATTGTTTTTGACTCCCGAACCTTCTCGTGGTCACTTTATTAAAGCTGCCTACACGTCGCAGGGTTGATCACCACCTCGGCCCGTAAGCGGAACTAAAGCGAGGTTTTGTATCCACGATTCCTTTTACGGTCTGTTAGTTCAACATGTCAGTCCGCAACGGTGGATCCAGTGCCGTCAGGTGTCGACAGACTGGGCGTATCGTGGCGATCAAGAAGCCTGCCTTGCAGTGGTATGCGTTGACCTTGTGTCATGCGTGCTCCGTACGATCCCTGGCGCCACGCACACAGACGACTCTCCAGTCATTCGTCTGTACCACAGCTAAGGAAGGTTCGATTCGCTTACGAAGAGCCCGGAGGCAGCACTCCAGCCAGTGAATATAGGATTATAGGACAGTGTCGATCTTCTTATTCCTGCTTCATGCAATCAGGATATCCTCGAGGGCAGCAAACACCTCCGAGATCCCCGCAGGATGCAAGAGTTAACCGGAAATCTACTAGACTGGAAAAGTAAGATGAAAACTGCGCTGGTGTATGCCTATGGTACGATGTTTGGGACTTCCGGTGTAAAGCTCTGCACATAGCAGGGGTTGGGTGCGCCTCGGTGCTACTTTGAGGATAGCACCCAACCTTTGCTGTGGTTAAGATCGCCAACTGTGTGGACCTCAATGTTCCGCACACCACTCATTACAGTTACATTGACATTGAAGATCTGAAATCTGGACGTGCCTTCCTCCAGAGCTATTCGATGATCCTGCTCGTCGGCTGCTGTGCGAGCTTTCTCTCTCTCCCACTCTCGACCTAATTTCCGCGGTTCTGTTGACAAGCTGAAGAGCTCTGGCTTTAGGGCCCTCGGGTTTCTGGGAGGTACCTCTGATGGCCCGTCCCTGCTGGGGGCGTTCGGGGCTTCGGCGCAAATACTCCGCGAGGTGGCGTCAGCTTTGATTTCTCGCGAGAGTGTCTAGATGTACATACAAAAGATTCAGACAGGGATGTGTAGTATACCGAAACGTCCTTTCGATATGTTTCCGCATCAAGGTTTGTGAATGAAGTCCAATCTAGACCCGAAGGCTCAGTTTCTTCCTTCAAATGCCAGAGCAAGGAATTTCCTGGCGGTTGTCAGTAGCCAGAAGCTAACAAGACTGTACTTCATCATCCAAAACAGTAGGTTTCGTGTGCAGCAGCACCCTGTTGCAGGTGTCCAACCCTCTTGCATGATTGTGTTTGGTGCAAGCAGAACTGATTATTTCTGGTGTATTGGAAGGTGGCCGTGTTGAAGTCCCTCGGCAAGCACCCGGGCATCGTGCTCCTTGGCAAAGACAGCTGGGTGTCCAAGGAAAACCCTTCAGAGCAGCGCAACAAGACAGTACTGCAAATCTTGTAACACCGTACAACAGAACTTAGATCACATGATGGTTGTTTATGTGGAAAGTATCTAGACTAGCGGAGAGCGTAACTAGTGTGGCGTTGACGAGCAACCTCGAGCCCTCGAAGAGTACATGGGTGCCCCACAGCCCAACACCAGATTGAGCTTTCACAAAATAATCACAAAGTTACACAGCAGAAGTCCCTCAAGTGCTCATTGCACCCAAAGCCCCCGTTTGCAACTGCACTTCACCCTCGACTCGTGGCCTAGGAGCAGCATCGCAGGAACCACCTCACGGGTGTAGGGCTGGGGTGCGTCGATCTAAACACTGAGGCCATTGCTGGAAGTCTATGGGGAAGCAGGAAAGCTCTTCATGGTCTTCGAGTACTTCGAGCGCGACCTCGCACGGTACATGCAAGAAGCAGGCTCGCTCTCCGAAAGTCGAGCCTCGGCTATTAGCAACGGCTCCTAGCACGACAAGGATGAAACCAAAGTAAAGAATTCCCTCCGCTGTAAGGGGTGGTGCGCTTCTCCTGGCAGCTGCTCAATGCCATGGCTCACTGCCACGTTCATCGCGTCGCGCACCGGGATGTCAAACCCCAGAACATTCTTGCGGCTGAGCTATAAAAGAATCACGAGTTACGAGTGCAGTGTCTGAGTCGTTGAACACTTCAGGCAGTTGTAGATGTTTCTTAGATTTTCGATATATTGATCTGACATTCTTTGCCCTGCAGTAGGCAATGACCTTGAGGTGAAGCCAGAAAGCGATGAGTTGAAGTTGTGCGATTTCTCCCTGGCTCGCTCCGTGGTCGTACAGCCCACCGTTTCGCAAAGCCCGGAGACACACAAGGTGGCCTCACTATGGTATCGTAGCCCGGAGATCTTGTTGGGATCAGAGAACTCAGAGAACTGCGGCCACTGCGGTGTGCGCCTCGATGTTTGGTCACTGGGATGTGTCATTACAGAGATGCTTCTGAACGAGCCCTTGTTCCCTGGCTCCTCGGAGATAGGCATGCTCTTCCAGCAGTTTAAGCTACTGGGCACACCGAATGAGTCATCATGGCCTGGAGTGACATCCTTGTCCAACTGGTCAACTGAATTTCCAAACTTCCAGCCGGGATTTTGGCACGAGAAAGTGAAGCGGACACCGGGCATGCACCTTGGGAAGATCATGTCGACCTTTGATTTGGGCTGTTCGTGGGCGAATCGTTTTTTTGTTTGTTGTTGCAGCCCTTCGCGCCCCCCAGCAGGACTAAACCATCAATCACCAAACAAAGGTCTGCAGGACACGAGCATGCCTCGAGTGTGTGAGTAAGTGAGCTGAGCCTGCGGCGACAGCAACAACAACGCGCCCGCCCCACTCCCGCTGCAAAAGAGAGACAGAACAAAGAGGGCACACCCCGCAGCCACAAGAACAAGCAACGTGCCCTGCACCAAACCAGCGTCTCACATGGGCCAGCGAGTGAGTGAGTCAAGTGAGTGAGCCGAGCCCCTGGCAGCAACCGCAGAAAAAGTGCAGCAGCAACACAGCTTCTCCAATGTCGCTATGAACATGTTCATCGGCGCAAAAGGGCACAGCGGCATGGGGAGAAATATAGCGCCCGGCAGCGACAGCACCCCTCGGCGACAGCCAAAGAGAAGCAGCACCGCAGAGGGGCCAAAACAGCTCGCCCCACAGTCATAGCAAGAAAGTACCACCTGCCGCAATTGTACCGTAGAGCAGCAATGTTCAGCAAACCGCATAGCAACAACAGAAAGCAATACACCCCGCAGCAACAACAACAAAAGCAGCAACAACTGAAAACACTCTCAGCAGCAAGATGTAAGACCTGCGCTTCCACAAGTATGAGAGCTGAAGCACAAGCAAGGTACAATCTCATCTCCTCCATGGTGTGCTGTTGCCCTGCGCTGCGGCAGTCGGCTGGTGCATTGCTGGGCCACGGTGTATTCCGCACGCTGGACCCTTCCCTGCCTCCGTCCGTGAAGCTCTCCTCACAGCGCGACAAGGGCCGGCCTCAGGTGCACCAGACCGAAACTGTCACTCAGAAGGACAGACTTGCCGGGCAATCAGAGGACCAGAAGATGGCTATCGAGGACGAACCGCTAGGAGAGCTCTTCAGCTGCCTTAAGCGGGAGAAGCCCGCGCGGCCCGTGCTTGCGGAGACCGAGGACGTGCGAGGGGCCAGCAAGAAGCCCAAAGAGACTCAGAGAGCTTCCTTGTTGGATGAGTGGCACGTGAACACTCAGATTCGCCGGCCTCGCTGAGACGACCAAGCTGTACATTGTTGTTCTTGTTCGGCCATTGCAGAATTTGTGACTTCCCACTGCTGGGATAGAGGCATGGAGAGTGACCGATGAAATTTTCGACGTAAATCGCATGTCCTGTTAATGTACCATCGATTGTAATGCTCCTCTTAGAAACTGCTGACACAGAAAGCTCTGCCCATACACCAGCCGAATTCAACTCAGAGGCCGCATGCTGCCCATCTGGCTTTCTGAATTGTGCACCTGTTGCCAGATGCTTTGGGTAATGTGTTGTAAATTGTTGTTGTGCGTTTGCACTCTGCACTGCAAACACACGACGTCATGGCTCATCTTGATGACTGATCATCGAGGATGGGGTTTAAGGCAGGCAGCAAAAGTGATGGCTGCGTGGGCTCAGGGTTCCTTTGACCTGGATCCCATATAACTGCATACCAGAGGCAGGTCTCGGAACAGAGCAAATATCCCGCGTGCAGTTCAGAGCCTCAGAAGCACGCAGAAGCCCCGCACACTCTTACTCACTGCCTCTCTCAATCTCGTGAAGGCAATTAACCGAATTAAGCGCAATAGCAGAGTGCTATGAAGTAGCTAATGGTACATACTGGAACATGCAGCTCAGGTGGCCCAGAATTGCCCAGAATACCTGAACCGTCAGACCTATTCTGCTGGGCATCTGGGTTCCTGGTGGATGTCGAAAAACTTGTCATTTGCTTCTGTTGATAGGTCAGTTCTGCACCAGGTTCTGTTTTCCTGTCGCATCCTAATCCTTTTTTCCTGCTTCAAGTAGCGGCCCGTAGGCCGGGGGGTGCGCAGGAATCTCCAGGCAGCCCAGTACCTCTACGTTCGAGGGGCCGACCTCCATCGATCCGGAGGTCTCAGATTGCACAGACTCGGGGTCTGTCCCAAATACTGCACGCTTTTGAGGGTAGCTTTGAATGTGGCTTATTGCAAGAAATGGAATCCGATGTCTCTGAGTGTAGTTTTAGGCTGTGTGCGCGAGCTATGCTGAAAGGGTGGCTGAGGGTTTCCACCTTGTCTTCCCTCTCGTGCACTCCTCTCTTTTTTGCTTGACCTCGGGAGTTTGTGCTTTATGCCCAATGGCATGCGCGCAGGTGTTAGCCAGCAGCAGCAGTTGCTACCTATCGATGGGGCTTCTGCATGCGGCTTTCTAAGCCGGCGGCCAAGCCTTTGCAAGTTCTTACGGCGCGATGAGCTCCGGAGCAGAAGGGAAGCCATGAGCTTCGGCTTCTCAGAACACGGCAGGCTTAGGGTTGTATCTAGCTGAATACCAAAGTCAGCAGTTACAAGTAGGACCCAACGGTGACCCTCAGAACTAGACTATGCTCGTCAATGGTTTGTTGTGGGCCCTGATTGGATGATATCTGGAAGCAGAATTGCGCTTGGTCTTATCTTGAACAGACGAAACGAAGAAGGCGGGGAGGGTTGTAAACATTGACTTTGATTTGCCTCGTGCGGTGAATTCTAGTGTAGATCCCGAAGCCAAATGACCGCCGGCTTGGGTCAGCGAAAGGAAGCTATTGAATGCGGGCTGCTGAGGAATGGTCGGCTTTTTCCGGGAGAATGGCTCCACCGGTGCGAGAGCACTGCACTTTGCAGCAAGCCGCAGCCTGAATCGAGCAAGAGCTCTGACTGGGTATACTGCAGAGTGTAGGGGGTGATTTGAGTCCCTCTTTGACAGAGTAAGTGCAGCGCAATCGGAGCAAGAAGCCCGCACGAAAGCTTTTGAAAACCCTGCGGCATCTGCGGGCTGTCCGCGCGCTCTTGAACCCACAGTGCAAGCTCCGAGTCGTTACGTTCCAGGTGGTGGGCACCTGGACGTTTGCCGCTACCTTCTGAGAACGGGAGTCGGGGACTCACCGCCTTGTCAACATTAAGCCGTGTTCATGTTCAGCTTGGTAGCACGTTCTGAAGTTGAGGCGTTCATGCTGGGCTCTTCGGGTTCATTGCCCCTTAGAGAGACATGCCTTGTGCTGATGCTGGAGGGTGAACCGGATTTCAGCTGGTAAACATCAGTCCTCGAGCCCAAAACCCTACCTCTGGCGCCCAAACCCGGCAGTGCCGATCCTCCCCATGCGAGCCCCAACATCCGTTCAACGAAGGTATCGTAGTAAGGGACCTGCTGCAGTTTAAGCCTCTCAGCGCCATTCTCTTGAAATAAGGAATATTCGCTAAAACTGTTTGAAACAGATTCCCTCTTCGAGGGGGTTATTGGGGCTTGCTGGCTGCTGGGTGCCAGGTGAGCCCCGACTTGAAGGCAGACAAGGGGCTGTCGGCGTTTACGCTGGCAGTACTGTGCCTTGGCTCCGGTTTAGGGTATACGGGGCTTAGCGGCTTAAGGCATTTAGGGTGTACCCTTGTTTTTTGCTCGCTTGGGGTGGTGGGTCGAGAGCGTTGGGGTGTGCCGCAGATGTTGCGCAGCTGCTGGATCCAATGTCTCGGAGCCCAATCATGCCATCAGACCCAGCCAGCAGCCTTGAGCTTCTAAGTGTGAAGATGTAAACCCCCGCAACCTGCGACTAGAACGTTACGTACTACTCGTAGAACAGTCGACCACGTTGCGACCAGGTGCGGGGAATGCCTCGCAGCTTTGGCACCGGCCCAAGGGCCCGAGGGTCGTTCTTGCTTGGCCTGCTTGTCTTTGTTGTTTGAATTTGGGGGAGTTGAGTGTGATTACCGCTCTCGAGAACATGGCAGCTTTCGGGTCTGCCTCGTCCAGACACCCAGCCATACGATGGACTCGACAGTGACTCTGCAATAGACTCAAGCTCTGGGTGCTGGCCAGCCCGAGGTTCTCCTACCACTCTGCGCACCTTCGAATCTGGAGGAGGCCATAGCTGTAGCTTTCTGCGCACACTGCAGAGAAGGCGTCTGGGTCTTCTCTGGTGCATGGTTTGTGAAGATACACTGCTGTCGCTGGTATGAAGCGGTGTAGGGCCAAAACTACACCTTCAAGTAAACCATAGTAACATAGTAAACCTGAATCCACGCTGCCTCGTCAGGCGCTGCCTGGAGAGCTTTGCTGGCGTGTAGGCTTGGGCATTGCTGTGGGAGCAGGAATCATCTGCAGGGTTCACTTTGCCAGCAACTTGGATTTCCTGAAGGTACACGGAATAATTCTCCAGAGTGCCCAACCATCCTCAAACCCAACAAATGAATTAAGTCCCCGCAAGAATCCGACATTGCGGAGGCTTGGCTGGTGGTTCCACCGTACTTCACCTTGTTGCTGCTTTGGGTGGCACAAGAGCGGGAACCCCAGATGACACACCGAGTGGGTGTAAGGCTTGGGATTAGGGCAGGTTTCTTCTGCCATCTGTTGCAGGAGAAGTCATCGCACTCAGATAAAGAGCACTAAGCTTGGATGATCCGCACCTCCACATCACACAATATCACTGTCGCTTTGGCCCAGGAGAGACTACTCGAGCCCTTGCTCGAAAGGTGTCCAGCTCTGCTGAACCGTGCCAACTGGGCGCAGGCACGCAATTACCCATCACCCCTCCATCCCCTCTCTCTCCCTCTGTCCGCTTTGCCTCTGTCTCTGTTTGTTTCGCGTGCTTGTCCATCCGACCACCTATCTGTCTGTCCTTTGTCCTCTCTTTCCCTCTCTCTCTGTCTCTGTCCGTTTTGTTTTTCTATCGCTCTCATCCTCCCCGTCTCTCTCTCTCTCTCTCTCTCTCTCGCTCTCTCTCCCTCTCTCTCCCTCTCTGTGGGTCTCTCTCTCTCGACTGCAGCACGAGCGTTGGTACTTCCGAACGGTATTTTTTTTCTGCATGCTCGCTGCTCACGCCCAACTGCAGTATCGCCGTTGTTCATGGCCCATCTGTTGGTGATCACTCGTTCTCAGGCGGCGATGACCTGCGTTAATGAAACGATAATAATTTTAATTGTTGATAGGCGCAGTGACATGCCGTGCAGCCGCATCCTGTTGTACCCGGAGTCAGACCTGGCACGCACGAAGCTCGGATCTAAGTCCTACGAAGCAAACCATTGACACCGAGATCCTGACACGTTCATGATCAGGATTGGTTTGGTACTGCCTTGTGCACGGCAGGAGATTCCGGCCATGCTCGCTCCGGCGATGCTTTGAGCTCGGATGACTCTGGGATCGTTCCAGTCTTCTTCAGTGTAGCCGAAGGTTCTGCAGGGCAGAACAACGTGAACTTCAGCTGCCGAAGATTCTACACCAAACATATCTAGCTGAGGTGCACTAAAGCCGCATCTCCGAAAATAACAGACCCCAGAATTTCTTACAGCCCAAAGCATCCCTTCACCTAGCGCGAACAGATGCGAGCCTTGCATCCTCGGGCTTAGGATGCGGCCGACCTTGCAGCCCAGATCACTCCATGCCTTCGAAGCGCTCTTGGCAGGGTCCCGAAATCCTCCTTAGAGCGGTACAGTAGGGGCGGGGCGGGGTACTATAACACAGTATACTACAATCGAACGTGCTAGTTTACTCTAATCTTATGTACTTCGAGATTGTGAAACTCAAGGTTTCGGGTGGTAGTGCATGTCTGAGTTCTTGGGCCTTCATGCACGGGTGCGTCGGCTGCAGGTGGCCGGGCTGGTCTGCTTTCTGAACCGAGACTCGTCGTAAAATCCTTGGATTTACGATATGCGGGGTCTTAGAAAGTCTGACATTCCACCATGGCACCAAGGAACTACTTGGACAGGCTTAGCTTTGAGGAGTCCCAAAAAAGGATCGAGGTCGCTGTACAATGCTCAGGCAACAGGGAGCTTAAACTTTAACCCGAAGGTCCACCCAGCCCTGCTCGCCGGCAGTTTACTTCGTATAGATCCCAATCTCCAGCGCCGAGGCGGTTCCGGAGGCTGCAAGCGAAGAGGAGAGAGTAAAGGTGGCAGAAGCAGCGGCCGGCATCTCAGTTCTATATGAAGGGTTCATGGAAGCTTGGCGTTTGAGCTGTCGGGGTTTAGGATTCAGGGCTTCAGGGAATTATAGTACATGTCGTGGGGACATGTCATAGGTC